TCTGTCATGTCGTTCCTGGGAGAGCCCAGGCCCTCCCCAAAGTGTCCAGATTGAGAAAGCATCCCTATTATGGGATGGGCCCCAAAGTCCATTTGTGTGTCAGGGATAAATACTGATCTATTACCCCAAAATCCATAGATTGCCTGAGTCTCCTCATTGACACCCACATTCGGGGGGGTCTGGATCAGTCCCATACTGGCCTCTCAGCCATCAGTCTGGGGTCCAAGATCTCCCCTTTGTTCAGGTCAGCTGTTTCTCTGGGATTCACCAGCCCAGTCTTGACCCCTTTGTTCATCACTCCTCCCTCTCTGCCACTGGGTTCCAGGAGTTCAGTTCAGTGTTTAGCTGTGAGTGTCTGCCTCTGCTTCCTTCTGTCACTGGATGGAGGTTCTAGGATGGTATGTAAGACAGTCGTCAAAATCATTATTAGGGAGGGGCATTTAATGTAGTCTTTCCACTCCTGCTTAGTTTGCCAGTTGGTGTCATCCTTGTAGACCTCTGGAGATCTCACTAGTGCCAGATCTCCCTTCAAACCTAGAATGACTCCCTCTATTATGATAGCTCTCATCCTGCTCTCCTCTATTCTTCCCCAACTCAACCTTCCTGCTCCCCCATGTCCTCCTCTCCCTTCCTCTTCTTTCCCTCTCTTTTTCCTGGCTCCATTTCCCCTCCCCCACCCTGTGCTCCCAATCTGCTCAGGAAATCTTGCCTCATTCCACCTTCTCTGTGGTGCCATGGATATCTCTCTTAGGGTCCTTCCTGTTTCCCTGCCTCTCTGGCAGTGGGATTGTAGACTGGCATTCCCCTGATTCATGTCTAACATCGAATTTTAAGATCATTGGAATCTTGATGGGGATTGCATTGAATCTGTGCATTGCTTTTGGTAGGATGGCTATTTTCAAAATATTAATCCTACAGATCCATGTGCATGGAAGGTCTTTCATCTTCTGGTGTCTAATTTCTGTCTTCATTGTTTCAAAGTCCTCATTGCACAGGTCTTTTATTTCCTTGGTTATGTTTATCGCAAGATAAATTGTTTTGTTCGGGTTTTTGTTTGCTTGTTTTGTTTTTGTTTTAGTTTGTAGGATAAAGGTCAAGCCATTCAAAATCCCATCCTGGATGGAAGAAGGGCTCATGAAATTCCACTCCTCACCCACCTCACTGAGGAGCTGTAGGCAGCTGATGGTTACTAGGGGAAGGAGACTGTCAGTTATATTCAAGGCTATCCCTCCACTGACAGGGCGCACATGCTCCCAGGAGATGGCCCTACATCCATGCCCAGCCAGCACTAAGGGACTCAGTGCTCCTAATAAATAATTAAACAAGCAAACAAATAAATAAATAAAAATAAAAACACACCAGCTCCTGAAATTGGGAGGGAAACATAGTGATGAGGGATATGGATGGAGGGAGTGGGGATAGATTTGATCAAAACATCATGGGCATGTATGAAATTCTCACAGAACTGCATAGGAGGAGAGTGAGAAAGAAGAACTGATGGCTTGACATTTTCAGGCTCTCAGAGGCAGCTGATGCTAACGTTGAGAAATGGCTTCTGAAAGTAATTAAGATTCAACATGAACCCCAACCTGACCTGGTTTCTTATATTTTTTTAGGCTCCACATACATGTTCCACCACACCCGGTTCAGTTAGTGTGTTAGTTTGGTTTGAGGGGTGTGTGTGTGTGTGTGTGTGTGTGAGAGAGAGAGAGAGAGAGACAGAGAGAGAGAGAGACAGAGAGAGAGAGAGAGAGAGAGAGAGAGAGAGACAGAGAGAGAGAGACAGAGAGAGAGAGAGAGAGAGAGAGAGAGAGAGAGAGAGAGAGAGAGAGAGAGAGAGAGAGCGCTGATTGGCTATTTGACATTAATGTTGAATTGTTTTTGAGAGAGGGAGTAGTAGCTATTTTGTTTGTTTGTTTTTGGTTTTTCAAGACAGGGTTTCTCTGTGGCTTTGGAGGCTGTCCTGGAACTGGTCTCGAACTCACAAAGATCCACCTGCCTCTGACTTCCGAGTGCTGGGATTAAAGGCATGCACCACCAACGCCCAGCTAGGAGTAGTAGCTTTTATTTCTTCTTAAACCATGGATTGTTAACAGGAACAAGGCTGTTAGTGAAGGCTGAAGTACAGACATACCCTACACAAGAACAGCTTCCTAAGGGATCCCCAGGTTTCTGTGCTGTGTATGGTCATGGGCAGTCATCCAAAAACAGGTGAGGAAGAAGCCAGGCAAGACCAGTATTTTTAGGCTTGCCCTCAAGGAAGTTGCTTAGAAAACCAAAGCAGATAGGTACAGATGTCCCAGCATGCATCTGTGGTATTTTGGAAGCGTAGTAGAAACTTTGCAGTTGACTGGTTAATGATCAAAAGATCAGAAAGTCCTGTGAGTGTCTGGATCTGGGAACAGACACCCTACCCTCTGTCTTCATAATCTCAGTCTCTGCCACAAGCTTTACCCCTCGTTGATAAATTATATAGAAGCTAGATATTTAGGCAAAAAAATCTACTGGGGAGAATGAAATACAGTAATCATAAAGCATTTTAAGATAAAACATTTTACCCTCCCAAAAAGTAAAGAGTTACTTAAAAATTATAAACATACAAAGCAGTGTCTCTCAACTGCTCTTCTCTTGACCTTTGGGGCTGGCTTATTTCTTGTCGTTGGACTGCCTGAACTGTGCATTGTTGGATATTCAGCAGCCTCTCTGAACCCTTACCCTCCAGAGGCCTGTGGTGTATCCCTTCCCAACTTGGAGTCCAAGTTATCAGGACCCAAAATGTGTGCAGACATTGCATAATGTCCCCTGGGGAACAAAACTCACATCATGTTGTAAGTCACAACTTAAGAAGTTCTTAAGGGGGAAAATGACAGTAGAATTTGTTTCCTTTAATTATGTGGCATGGGGTGAGGGTGTTGGAATATCAACCTACAGCCTCCCTCATGCTAAGCAACCTCTCTGTCACTGACCTTTAGCCCTCTAGATGGAAAGATAATGCATGTGTTAAATAATTATAAATTAAAACAGCAGACCAGTCTGGTCTTAAATATTAAAAAGGTTTATTTTAGGAGAAAAACAACCTGGTAGGTGTTCCCAAGCAGATGTCTTGCATGTGAATTAATAGGTGTCCTACTTTCATTTCTGTTGCGGTGTTATAAACGCCTGACAAAAGCAGCTGAAAGGAAGAGGGTTTATTTAAGCTGACAATTCCAGATTTCGGTGTGTTGTTGTGGGGAAGTCCAGGCAAAAAGAACTTGAAGGAGCTAGCCGTGTCATATTTACTCTGACAGCAGAGAGAAGTGAGTTAATGCATGTGTGCTAATTGCTCAGCTTGCAAATCCAGGAATTGTGCAACCCATTTTTAGGTTTCTTCACACATAACCAAGACAATCCCTTACAAGCCATGTCCACATAACAGCCTGATCTATACAATCCTTCACTCAGACTCTCTTCCCAGATAATGTCTAGGTGTGTCAAGTTAGATAATTAAAACTCACTATCACAATGTCCCACTCAATAGACGACAAAGTCCAAAATAGCTATTTGACAGATAACCAGGAGGGACCTGGCTTTCTTAATGATTTGACTTGGGGTGTAATTATTAATGAGAGCAATCTAAGTAAGCATCATTAGTATCAGTATGTTGAAAAGATACACGCATGGGCGTGAGTGCTTAGAGTACTCATGGAAGATGGCTAGGTGTGCTGCGTGGGAGCTGCTTTACCTGCTTACGTTGCCATTCATTGATGAGTTTAAACTTTTTAAGTCAAGTATGCTTAATACCTAAGTAAGAGGGAACGACCTTAAATTTGGGGTCACATCACCATTTGTGTTCATTCACCTGTTCTATCATGTGACTCTCGCGAGTCCTCCCCACAAATTGTTCGGACATGGTTTAAAGGAGAAAAGGCACATCCCAGGAAGCAGTGTTGATGAAACAGAAGTGACCAGTGGATGCTTCAGTTGTAGTCAGGCAGATTACCATGTGCTATTTAGAAAAGGACAGTAAATGTGCACCTCCAACCCCCCCCCCCCCGCAAGGAGGCAGTGTTGAGAGCCCAGTGGTAATCCCTAGTGTGGCAATTTCTCCTGTAGACATTGAGTGCAGTTTGTGCTGGCAAATACTGAACACTCTAGTGATTACAGTGAAGTGAATAAATGGTGGTTCTTACAGTAGGCAGTGTGTTTATTTATCGGAACCACTAAAACGTTGTGGGAACTGATTGTCTTATGTTGTGTTTGTGTTTCCTGCATATATTAGTTCATTTTCCCATTCCTGCTTCAAAATACCCAACAGAAGCAACTTAAGGAAGAAGATGCTGTTTTGATTCACAGCCTGAGGATTGCAGTTTGTAATAGTTGAGGAGGGATGGCAGCTGAGAGTGGGAGTCAGCTTGTCATATTGAACCCAGTCAGGAAGAGAGATGATGAAGATCCTCACTTCCCCACACCCCTTCTTCTATTAATTCACTTAGAACACCGCCTCTCAACCCTCCAACAGTGCCACCCTTTAATACAGTTCCTCTCGTTGTGGTGACCCCCGGCCGTAGAATTACCTTCATCGCTACTTCATAACTGTTAATTTTGCTACTCTTATGAATCATGATGTAAATAGAAGGGGAGAACCACTGCCTTAGAGCGATGCCTCCCACACCCAGCCTGGGTCTTCCCTCCTCAGCTGAACTTCTCTGGAAACCACCTTCACAGACACATGCAGAGGTTCCTCTACCGGGGACTCTAAACATACTCAAGAGCACATTGAGGATTAACCATCACCGCTTGTGTCATGACAGTCCTTACACAGCTTAAAGTGGTACAGAGCTCTTTGTGCATTTTCAACAGAACACATCCTGTGAGTCTGCTCTGATCGAAATGGTTTCAGTATCTGCAGTACTGACTTCCAATCTCATGTACATGTTTGTCTAACATGTCATCGCATAAGGTTTTCTGTTGCTGATGTTAGTTTCTTACGGTGACCCATTTTGTTTTTGAATCTCTTACAGTGCCTGTGCCAACTAATGTTCTAATTGAGTCTTATAACTTGAACCCTGTCCTGTGCTGGGAATACCAGGACATGCCACAGACTCCCACTTTTACTGCACAGGTAAAGAGCTATGGGTGAGTATTGCTCATTTATTATTTCTCTGTGTGTTAATCCTTGCATAGTCCGTAACTCTCTGCGGTCCCCCATCATCCCTCCTCCCGACTCACTAAACTTTTATCAGCTGGTTGCAGATGTTGCAAAATGCTAAGGATGTAGATTGCTTCTTGTCGGTAGTGAAGTAGGGAAGTACTACAAACGTGCAAGATTCCCCTCTAGTCTCTTAGTAAACTAATATTTGTTAGCTGTTAGCAAAGAAAACCCAGATGCATTGCAGTTAATGTCAGTGAGGACAGGCACCACCTTACAGTAGTTTAGCATTATTTCAGAATAAATACTTTCAGATCAAATGGACTCAAATGGAAAACAAGACCTCAGTGTGGATTTGTCTTCTCATGAATTAATCCAGGAACTGAGGTTAACAACTTTCGAGAGGCGTGCTACAAAGGCAACCTTTGTGTCTACCATACAGATCATAATGAATGCGCATCCCAGGCTTGGTATCATGCAGCCTGGTTATTTGACGAAGGTGTTAGCACTCACATCTATCCATTGTACATTCTTTTAAATAAATAACCTGTGGTGAAAACTGCACGAGGACATGAATATCCCGTTCTACACGAGTCCACAGATATTTCAAGACCGGCTAGCTAGAGTTTCCATTGCTGCGATGAAGCATCGTGACCAAGGAAACTTGGGAGGGAGGGTTTATTTGACTCACACTTCCTTATCACTGTTCATCACTGAAGGAGGTCAGGTCAGGAACTCAAACAGGACAAGAACCTGAAGGCAGGACTGATGCAGGGGACATGGAGGATGCTGCTTCCTGGTTTGCTCCCCATGGCTTGCTTTTTCCAGTACCATCAGCCCAGGAGTGACCCCAGCCACAGTAGGCTGGCCACTCCCCCACCAATCACTAATTAAGAAAATACCCCACAGGCTTTTGTTCAGACCCATCTTATGGAGGCCTTTTCTTAGTTGAGGTTCCCGCTCTCAAATGACTTTAGCTTGTGTCAAATTAACATAAAAACTCTCCAACACAGTCACTTAGTAAATTGACTGAAACATTAAACTCTGAAAAACATATTCTATTTGAAAACTGTGGGAGACAGAAACCCTTATACATAATTAATGTGAATGGTAATAGATCTTGCCCTGGGGAAAGAACCTTTATCTGACAAAACTTAACATGCTTACCTTGGCATGTTTTTCACTTGTGGTGCTGGAGATCACACCCAAGGCTTTGCACTCACCAGGTCCCATGTTGCATGTATTTGTTGTATGCATGGGTGCATGTTCCTCTGTGTGTGTGTGTGTGTGTGTGTGTGTGTGTGTGTGTGTGTGTGTATGCAGGAGTGTGTGCATATATATACACATACATGTAGAGGGTGGGAACAACTCAACCGTCATTCCTTGTTTATTTTTTGTTTTGTTTTAACATGGATTCTGGGGATTGAACTCAGGCCTTCTTGGCTTTGCATAGCAAGCAATTGATTGGCTGAGCTGTCTCTCCAGCCAGTGTTTGCTGTTAGATCTGTTGATGCCACATTAGGAACTTACCTGTAAGATACACTGTTATAAAAATACAGCTTGAGTTTGAATAGGAGATTAAACACATGACTGCTGCAAAGTGGATTTCTGTAGTAGCTTTATAAAATATGAATGAAATCTCATATTTTATGGATCTGAATGTAGTGATTCCCAGACTATATTGTTCAATGAAAAGAAAAATTAAGTTCTGTAAGACATATGCACTGCGCTCCTTTGGAGAAGATGAATGAGATGAACTGTTTGTGTGGGTGTCGTCTTACTCTGGAAAAGCTCAGGGAGTGAAAACCCTGAAGCTAAGGAGATTGGCTTCCTGCAGGAATGGGTAATAATGTTGTAAAAGCCAATAGGAAGAACGTCCTATTTTCCTTGGAGAAATGCTGATTCCAGGGTTAAGTCAAGAAACAAAATGAAGATTTGTATACGTATTTGATAAAGTTTGACTTGCCTAGTTGGTTTAGTGGGGTTTTGTTTGTCTTTGTGGGGCAGAGGGCCAACTTGTTCACCTAAAGGAGCACTGTACCTCCAAGCAACAACCCCAACAAGAGAAGACAGAAAGGTAATTAGAAAGTATCCCTTGTGGCAGAAACAACTGATGCAGACATATCAAAAGGCTCCAAAAAGCATCTTGAAGCAGGCTCTTCCTGGCCAAAGAATGGGACAGCTTAAGCAGCAATATCAATAAGAGCATGATAAATAAGAAAGAAACCCTGTATCTACATTTTCATGAACCTGCAATGATGTTGGGAGAATGAGAAGATCTTGTGTGGACCAGGAACTTCTGAAAGGTTTAATTTTGGCAAATGAAGCTGATATCTTAGGTTGATCTCTTCCTGTAATACCTGTAAGTTTTGTTAGAAAGATAAATTTAAAAACAAAACAAACAAAAAAGCCTAACCACAATGAAGAGCTTTTATAATATGTCTGATTTTGTTATCGACTCACATCTGTATTAACGGGATCCACAAGGGTTTAAAAGTGAAGTTTAAAGCTTAAATGAAATGTATTGTATGAGTTCTATCTCCTACAAAGGAATCTACAGCAAGGGCTATAGATTCCTTATCTCAAATGCTTGGGACCCGAAGTATTTGATATTCTGACTTTTTTCAGATCTTGAAAGGTTTATATATACCTAAGTAGATATGGTAAGGCTGGGACCTAAGTCTAAACATGAGACTTAGGTCATATATACCTTATCCACATATAACCTAAAAGTAGCTGGTGTAAAAAATTACAACACGTTTTAAAATACAATTTTTGTAAGGATGAGGCCTAGGCCTTTCCACATGCCCCACATATTTTCTATTACTAAGTTACTCCCCTAATATATATGATATTTGAATAATGAATTTCGTGCAGGAAACAAACAACTTTTCATGGTTTAGCATCTTTCCCTGTTAGATCAGATGGGTGCTCAAAAGGCTTGGATTTTAGAGCCATCAAATTTTTGGCTTTTTGAATTAAGGATGCTGGTTTGTACCTACAATTCAAGAGTAAGGGTTTCTTCTTTCATCTGGCTTCTCTGTCTTGTTTTATTTCAGCTCTTCCAAACAGCTGGATGCAATGCAAAATACAGATGGATGGCTGAAATTTGTGTGGTAATAAGATTTCCCATGTGTCTCTCTTCCTTTTCATTTTAGGAAGGATGAATGGATTGATTCCTGCACCAACATTTCTAATCATTGTTGTAATATCTATGACCAAATTATATATCCCGAACTATCTGTCTGGGCCAGAGTTAAAGCTAATTTTGGACAGAAAGAATCTGCCTATGCAGTGTCAAGAGAGTTTATTATGTGCCGACAGGGTAAGTAGATTTTATGCGTGGGTAACTTCTTATAACTTTTGTTTGTGTATTTATTTTTGTGTATATGGGTGCTTCGCCTGCATGTCTGTGCACTGTGCAATGCCCTGAAGAGGGCGTTGGATATTCTGGACTGCCATTACAGGTCTTTGCTAATTATCATGTGGGTGCTAGGAACCATGCCTGGGTCCTCTGGGAGAAAAGCCAGTGCTCTTAACTACCAAGCCGTCTCTCTAGTCCCTCCATGGATGCGTTTTAATTTTGAAGCACTTACACTTCTGTGTATATTTGCTTTTATTGATAGTTGCTACAAGTGTCTAGTAAATATATGGCAGAATTTAAGGAGCCATTGTCTTTTCCTTCCAGACCTACAAAACAACACTGAGCTGGCCTACACTTGACCACTTTAAAGTCATTTAGCGTCCCGTCCATTCACATCCTGACCAGTGCTGTTCAGCATGGCTAGACATCAGCCTTTCCCTCCCTGTGTAATGTGGAAGTCATTTCAAAGTTAGATCACAGAGGATTTGGCCACTGAGCTCATTCCTCTTACCTCCTTTAAGTCCTTGGAGACCTTGGATGCATAAATACCAACATAATAATACATTAATACATCAGAGTTTCAAGCAGGCTATGGTGGCCCATACTTGCCACCCAGCAGTCAGTGACCTCAGGCAGAAGATCAAGGGTTAGTGAAGAATTTGAAGCCAGCCCATCCCAAAGAAACAGAAGCTTAGAGTTCTTTCGTGTCTCTTGAGTCCAAGGTTTTAAGCTGTTTGTCCTCCCAGAATCCCATCCTATAGTTTACCTGTCTCAGCTCTCACTCTAACTCCAGAATGTTCAATATCTGTTCTAATCTCTGGTGGGGCATTCCAGCTTAACCTGTGCCCTAGTCCACTGGCCCCATGACATCTCTTCCAGCTTCCCTTCCTTCCTAGCTCACCCTCTGTGCCTGGTTGTTTCCACACTGCCATGCCTGTGGTGTCCCCCTGCTTTGATTCTGCCCCAGCTTTTTGGGTATACCCAAGGCTTTCCCACTGCCCACCCTTTGCTTACTTTAGATATTTTTATTCCCTGGGTTCATATGGTACATGCCATCTTTATGTCAGATTTGTCTGGCACTGGCTTATCAAGGATCTGTTGTGTCCCAGAAAGTATGCCTGAGATACACTGGAGCGTCGAAGCCACTCAGACCTGGGTGGAAGACTGTGTGTGTGGTACATGTGAGAAGCACATGCAGATGCTCACTGCACAAGCCCCAGACACCAGAGACACAGAGGCTGTGCATAGATGACTGGGTCTCCAGTTCTGGTGTTCATAGTGAACACTGAACCATTAGCAAATTTCTTAGAACCATCCTGCCAGACACCCAGTGAGTCTCAGTGAGGAAGATAACTGAAGAACTCTCCAGGAGCGGGCCGGATGGCTGTATGGTTAAGAACACTGGCTGTTCTTCCAGAGGACCTGGTTCAAATTCCAGCATCTGCATGGCAACTCACAACTGTCTGTAGCTTTAGTTCCAGGAATCCTGGAACTCTTCTGACCTCCACAGGCACCAGGCGTGTGCATGATATGTAGACACAAATGCAGGCAAAATACTCATGCACATAGTAAGTCAACAAACAAACAAATGAGGGCATTTTCAGAATACTTTTAGAAAACAAGTTTCTTAAGCTACAAAATAAAGAGAAAGAGAAGGTATTTATTTAAGTTTCTGTTTTGTGTGTCTCTGTGGGGGCAGAGTGCTCCTTATGTCCACAGGCAAGTAAGTGCTCTACCATCAAGCCACATCTCCAGCCTGCTGTTTTTACCTTTTATTTTGACACTAATTTGCCTAGGCTGGTTTCACACCTGTTGTTTAGTTCCAGCAACTATTGAGCTCAATGGTCCTCCTGCCCTACTCTTGTAAATAGCAGGCATTACAGGCCTGTATCACTAGCCCAGCCTTTTCATCTGAAAACAAACATTTATGACTAATTGTACCTTTCTAAAGACAAAGTCAGAAGTAAACTAAATCACTAAAGCAGAGTTTAAGGAAGAGCTTCTTGTCTGGGATTTATTAAACACTGTTTTCTTAGAATGTCTTCTAGATCTTTGCAGAGTTGTTCAAATGTGTCCATTGATTTGGGTAGATGTAGTAGTTGTGCTAGGAAGAATTATACTTTCCCTTTCTCCCCAGGAAAAGTTGGAGCACCGAACCTGGACATCAGAGAGAAGGGAGACAAGCTCATTCTCAATGTTTTTCACCCTGAGGTCATTATAAACGGAGAAAAGCATGGGATCATGTTTGAGGATGACAGCACCTGTTACACATTCCACTATACCATATATGAACAAAAAAATAGAAGTGGGGAGGTGTGTGTTTCTCTCTTATTTTTTTTAAATATAGGAACCACTCTATTGCTTGTGCAAGTTGTCATAAACTATAATGAAGGTAGACTGTTTGTGCATATACAATAAGATTTGTGGGTCATAGATTTCTGCTAAGAAAAAAAAACTATGTAAATACTATTGAAGGGACCCAGTATGGAGCTAATTGCCAACATTGGCCAGATGATGCATTTATGTTTACTCTTTGGTTAATCGCAGGACCCTCTCTAGAATGTCACCTTTTCTATATACCTGTTTCTCTACTAGTAAGATGGAGATCATATTGGGATTTTTTTTCTTTTTTACTGGTAATATGTAGCTTATAAAATAATATACAGCTATGATTTATTTCTGAAAGGTAAGCTAACAATACAATTACAATGATATAATTACTCTGGTATCTAGTGCGGATACTTTGTTTCAAACTATGCTCCCTCCATTCTGCATGATATTTCCATTTATTTATCTGTTTGTTTAATATTTATCAAAACCCTACTATGTGTCTTCTAAGTACCCAGAATTACAGAAGTGAACGGTACAAACAAAACTCAGGATAATCCCAGTGAAGCAGAGAAGGGTCTGAATAGCCTGCGGGGATGGAATAGTGGCTTTCAGTGGAGGGGGTCAAAGAACCCTGGAGTTAGAAGCTGGCCCCTGCAGCTGTACATGGGGCATCATTTGAAGCATAGGACCTAGGAAAGGCAGAGATCTCAGCAGAGGCACAGTTGGCATGTGGGGACACCAGGGGCCAGTGAGCTTGGGGAAAGGGTACAACGGGCAGGTAGAAACAAAGCAGGCATCGGAGGGGCTGAGTTTTGTTGTTGTCTCTTGAGTGAGATGCTGCTTGCCCGTGGCTCATTGGAACTTTCCCAGAATGCCCTTCACCATTTCCCTCTGGCGCGTTCCTGCTTCGTCTTTGGGTTCAGGGGTTGTCCTCTCCTCTTCGTATTCTTTCCACACTCGGCAGGTTATTTCATTTCAGGTGACCCAGTTCCTTACAAGATTCACCTTGCAGTACTCCTGACTTTCTGCTACATTTCTTACCTCTTATCTGCAACAAATTGTTGGCGTGTTAAACAAGCACTGTAATACACATGCTTACAAAGTGGGAGAGTTTATTTAGGTCACTTTAGAGACACAAAGGGAGGTGTTTACATCCACTCAGATCCAGTGAGGGTAGCAGACGGGTCACATAACAGCAGCGCATGTACAAGTGATGACCACTCTTTCTCACTTTCTCCTCCTGCTGGCAACCAAACCCATGACCTCACACACACAGGCATGCACATTGCTGTCCACCACTGTCACAAGAGAGCTCATCTCAAACCAGAGCAGAAGCAAGGGAGGCAGTGGCAGGGGTAGGGGTGGGGGATCTCAGCACATTTCAAGGGCATTGCCACTACCACGTGTCTGACAAATGCCTAAAGAAGGAAGGGTTTCAGATCTCTGTGAGTTTGAGGCCAGGCTGGACCGACAGCCTCTAAAACAATACAGAGAAACCCTGTCTCATAAAAACAAAACAAAGAAAGAAGGAAGGGTTTATTTTGGATCTCAGTTTCTGAGGGTTCAGTCCATGGTTACCTGACTTCATTTCCTTGGACAGGACATGTCAGAGAATGAGACAGGAGTGGCCAGGACAAGGCACCCCAAGAACTAAGCCCCAGATGACCCATTTACTCCAGTTAGACTCTACTTCTAAAACTTTCCAGAACCTCCCATAAAATCACTACCTACTTAGGCCTTATTCCATAAGCCTGTGAGGGACATTTTATACTCAGAGCTTAATCATTTCCCATGACGTGTGTTTAAGGGATTGCTTAAGACTTGAAGAGTGTAAGTGTCCGGGGCTGAGGAACTAGCCGATACTTGCTTCTCCAGTTCTTAGAGTACTAGAAACAGCCGGGGAGAGAGGAAAGTGTTTCATAGGAGGCATAACAAAGCAGCTACGTGACGCTGCAGCTGCCCTGTGCAGTAAGTACATAAAAATGCCCCAAGGGTCCCCTGTGCACCTGTACTTCATTCACGCTACAAACTACAGCACGTGATCACCTGTGCTAGGGGCTGGGCACACGAAGGCAGTGTTGTTAGCTTGCTTAGGTACCAGTGTGGCCTGTATATCAAAGGCCTAGCCTCTAGTATTGGGGTGTGCCTGGCTGAGACCTTGAGCCCCGTTCCCACTGAGCCCTCGAACACTTCCACCCTTCAAGTTTTAAACAGTCCTGTTCCGATTGGAGACATTTTAAAAGATGTTCTTCCCCATGCTGCGTGACGTCACAGATCGACTTATTATTTGATATCAAAGCGGATTTTCATTTCCTATTCATTCTATCCATGTTTTCCTTTGTGTTTAACTAGGATAATGCAACGGTTTTTCCCCTCAGGTTGAAGAGACCATACGCTTTCATACTGTTGTTTTTCCGTGTAGATCCTATATACAACCCATCAAATCAATGTAGAAGATTGCAATGACACCCTGTGCCAATTCAACATTTCCATGTCCACACTGGATTCCAGATACTGTGTCTCAGTGGACGGATTCTCAGAGTACTGGGGCATTACAACAGAAACATCCAAAGAAGTCTGTGTTTCTCCTGTCCGTAACAACAGAAAAGGTAAGCTTGTGCCTTCCTCCAGCTGAAGACAGAGAATGCAAATTGAAGTAGGGCAACGTGAAAAGAAATGGGCTGATTTATAACTTAGGCGTGTGTCTTTTCTTTTAAAAATATCCCATAGTCCCTTTTCCCAGGGAAGTTCATAACTAAAAACAAGACAATTTCTCTGGCACTGAAATATACTATAGCAACCAAATTAGAACGTCACCAGATGATTGACCCAGGAAAGAAAAGATATGTAACAAATGTATAAAATCATGTACACAAGCATCTGTATTTCAAATGGTAATCTGAAAATGTGTTAACTTGAGAAAAGCCTGAAGCGGACCATGAAGATGTCACAGTGGGGAAAGTCTGCCTCCAAGACTGATGGCCTTAATACGGTCCCGGATATGTATAGTGGAAGAAGAAAACTAACTCCCTCAAGTTGTCCACTAATCTCCACTCATGAGGGTTGGCATGTGCATGCAGGTATCCACACACACACAAAATGAAAATGTAGCTTGTTTTTAAAGTTAGAAGAGACAATTGCCTGGAGTCCTGTCCTTGGTCACAGTTTGGGGTTTTCTGTGCATTCTGGTTTTATTTTGGGTTTCTCCATGTACCTGTGATCATATTATGTAGTGTACACAATTTTGTGTACTAGCCGGGCGGTGGTGGCGCATACCTTTAATCCCAGCACTCGGGAGGCAGAGGCAGGCGGATCTCTGTGAGTTCAAGGCCGGGCTAGACTGATAGCCTCCGAAACAATACAGAGAAACCCTGTCTCATAAAAACCAAAAAAAAAAAAAAAAAAAAATTTGTGTACTGCGTGCCTGTGCTCTTCAAATTTCAAAGGGCAACTCTTCCATAGAGAACATTTTAACAGATGCACGTCACAATTGACTTACTTGCTATTAAAGCTGATTTTAATCGCATATTCATTCTATACAGGTTTTCCTTCAGTGTTGACTAAAATAAATGAAATGATCTCCCCACACCCCCAGAATAAAGAAGTCATGCACTTTATTGCACTCTTTAAATATAAGAATATTTTAAACTGGTTAGTGGTGGTGCACACCTTTAATTCCAGCACTCAGGAGGCAGAGGCAGGTGGATCTGTGAGTTCGAGGCCAACCTGGTTTATAAAGCAAGATCCAGAACAGCCAAGGCTACACAGAAACCCTGTCTCAAAAGAACAAAAACAAAAATTTTAAAGATTTATTAATATTCTATCATTATCTTTCATATACTTTGTTAACATTTTTAATCTGGAGGATATTTCATCTTGTAAATTGTATTCTTGTTTATCTCCCTGTTTTTAAGGTTTTTTTTTTAGGATTTCCTTACTGTGCTAAAAAAGGTGCTAGTTTTTTTTTAATTAGTTTAAATGACTTTAAAAAAAAGTGTACCTTTCCAGGGAAACAATGAAAGGCAGTAGAAAGGGAAAAAGGAGTGTTATGCAAGCTGCCAAGAAAGAAAAGCAACCAGCAGTCCTACCCAACTGTGACATTTATGAAACGGCAATCATCAGCATGGAAAGATAGCCCCAAACTGAAATAGTGGTATTGATGTCTTGAGGATAACCAACAGCCACTGAATTGGAACTTAAGACATGCTAAATCGAAGGAAATTCATGCCTGGCATGGTAAATTTAGCCAACTGCCCATGCCTAGTGAGGCCATGGAACCTAGCTGAGAACCTGCTACTGCCACTTGCCCAAACCGGTATAATTGCTAACTGTGTCCTAAATACCCATGCTCATGCACCCACAGAAAAGTATAGCTCTCACCCCTCATCAAACAAGCTTTATTTTTCAGCAGAGACCATTAGAAAACAAAATGTTACTACAACTGGTCATAATGCAGAGAACAACTGACTCTGGGCTGCTAAGCACCCATTGATACGACTACAACCCCTTCACCTAAGGCTCAGGGAATGTTACAGAAGATGGGATGGAACGATTTTAAGAGTTAGAGGACCAAGCTGTCTGCTTTTATATGTCAAGGAAGCTATACCCAAGAAATCTCACCACTGTGGCTCCCTGAATAAGACCCGAATAATGACAACACCACTTGATAAGCCAAAATAGATGGGTGGAATCTTAGAAGTCCCCACCCCTGGATGAAGAGCTGCAGGCAACTAATAATGACTGCTGACAGAGGGGCAATCAGTCTTCCCCAGGCATGAACCCCCATTTGTTTATTCAATATCAAGTGGTCTGCCCTAAAAATATACACATTCAGGCAGCTCTACACAGACTCAGAAGGTTGTTTTTTTTAACTTTTATTTATTTAAATTAGAAACAATCTTATTTTACATATCAATCCCAGTTCCCTCTCCCTCCCATCCTCCCATGCCCGCCACCGACTCCCCTCGCCCCCTCCTCCCCATATTTATATATTTGTATGTATTATAAAATGTATATGTGTAATGATAATAAAAAGAAAATAATAGAGATATTTGAGAAAATCAAAGGAGAGCTTGGAGGTAGGCAAAGGAGAAAGAACAGACAGGCTGGTCTGTGGGAGGGAGGAACTGGGTAATACTTGTTGGAGATTAGAGATGATCAAAATATTAACATATATGCAATGTCATAATGAAACTCATTATCCCATACAATTGATGAGTGATGGTGTAGATAAACTCCTGAAAAGAAGCTGTGTCTGCAGAGACTGATGGGAGTCTCAGGACTGTGGAGGGACCGGAATCCTGTAGTGTCAGAGGTTAACCACTCTATCTGGGACTGGTTTTAGCTTTCTGGAACAGACATGCCTTGTACCATGCTGCATGTGAACTAATATCTTTGATAATAAGTAAAACCCTCCCAGAAGCTGTTACCATAGAACACAAGCTCCAACCCAAGAGATAGGACTGTCATCAGCATCGTGGGCCTATAAGATAGTGCCCACATCTGAATGGACTTGCCTCTCTGGTGCACACACCAATATATTTTAATCTTGCCTTGATTTATGACTTTCTTTGCTCTGCAAAACTATAAAAACCCTCTGAAACTGCTTCTACGTTGGGACGTGGAATTTGAGGCAAAGCAAAGCTATGTTTCTGATCTGTTGTCACTCATAATAGCTCTAGAATAAACTGAAGGTGGGGGTTTAAATGAGTTTGACAGACACAAGACAAATGGTAAATAGGTGTTTATTAGGGAAGGACTTATACAGATAAGCGTAAATAAACGCCAAGGTCTTCCTGCTCCAGAAGATGCAGTCTCTGCTCTTCCACCGCTCTCCATGACCCAAGAGAGAGTGTGGCCACTCCTCCTCTATCTTAAGGGTTCCTGTCTGCACCTGAAACCACGCCCCAAGGGTGTGGTCACTCCTCCAGGTTCACTGGCAAGGCAAGATGCCACTGTAATTCCCCTTTCTATCTAAAGAAGAAAGTGTAAGCCTGATACAAAACTATATACAATGGTAATAAATATCAAGTATATTCCAAGAGAAGGAAAGGTAAAAACATACACAGATTAAGACCTACAACCAGCAAGAGCAACAGTGAGCAGTAGACACATTCTACATGTCCAGCTTTAGCGTGATGGCATATAACAGAGATTACTCCGACAGCTGTCCTAATCTGGAAAGTCTAAGTCTTGTATCTAGTATTCTCTAAGATAAGAGTATATTAGCCGTGACAGTCTAAGTGTTCTCTATCTAAGATAAGCGTATATTAGCCGTGACAGTCTAGTCTTCATCCCCCTCTCAGGTATTATGAGTAGTCTGCAGTATGCATGGACATGCAGTGATCTCTTTACTATTAAGCTTCTTTTTCTCTCAGTGCATACCCAGGAGTGAGATTGCTGGATCACATGGTAGATAATTTTCATTTTTTTCTGGCCTCTGTACTGTTCTTTATGATGTCTATACTAATTTACATCCCTGCCCATAGCCTCCAAGATTTTCTCTTCTGCACACTCACCTGCATTTCTGTTGTTGTTTTGCTAATTGGCCCTTTTAACTAGAGAGATTTGCATTTTCCTTGGGGCTAAGGACATTTAATATTTTTCCATGTATTTTCTGACCTTTTTCTTCTCTCAGGAATGTCTATTCATCTGCCCATTCTTTAACTGGGTTACTTGTTTTGTTAAGTTTTTAAACTCGTGGTATTAACTTTGTATCAAATGAGCGAATGGCAGTGGTTTCTCCCATTCTCTTCACTTTGTCCATTGTTTTCTGTTACACCTGAATTTATATAATTCATTTGCTTGGTCTCTAGTTGCTGCCCTGTCCAGAACACCCCTATTCCTTGTCTTCAAGTGTTACTCCCGTTTTCTAGTCCTCCATCCAACATTTTGGGTTGGTTTCTGTGGGAAGTATGGCCAGGGTTGTCCTCTGCATGCTACTGGTGGGTTTTCCCAGCACTCTTTATTGAATAAAGACTCTCCTCGTTAGTGGTCTGTAGCTAGCAGGTTCCTTTCTCGGACCTTCCGTCTGCTGCATGGCCTGAGCATCTGCCTGTCTGCACCTCCCATTCTGAGCTTTGCTTGCTGTCCCTGTAGTTTGAAGCCAGGCATGTTGATTCCTTCAATTTTTATCCGTTTGTTCAAAATTATTTCAGCTATTTTGGGTCTTTTGTGGTGAATTTCATATGAATTTTAGGATTTGAGATGAATGTAATTAGTGTGTTGATGGAAATTGCATGCAAACTGTAGACTTCAGTGCTAGTCTGTTTTCACCAATGTTCACTCTACCATGGATTTGGGCAGTCTTTCCATGTTTTGTTCTATCTGTTTTGCCTGTGTTTTGTTTTTAATTTTCATTGGCAGGGTCTTGTACTTCCTTGGTTACATTTATCCTTAGTTTTTTTTAAAGCTATTGTGAAAGGGATTGTTTCCATAATTTTTTTCACCAAATTTAATATTAATGCTGCTGTTTTTATATATTGATTTTGTAGCCTGGCCCTTTACTGTTTTCATTTATCATTTTTAAAAGTTTTATGTATATGGGTATTTTGTTTGTCTTATGGACCACATGTATGCAGTTCCTGATATGGCCAGAAGAGGGCATCGGATCCCTTAGGGCTTGAGTCATACATAGTTATCAGCTGCCTCGTGGGTGCTGGGAATTTAACCCCCAGGTCCTCTAGAAGGGTAGCCAGTGCTATTCCTTCAGCCCAACATATGTCTTTTTGAATAATGGAAATCTAGGCTGAAATGTTAGAGCATACATGTAAAATTTAATATTAAGAACTTTCAGGCCATTCTATCAAAGCTTTAAATGTGACTTAAAATACTGTACTGAATTTTGTGTTGATTTGCATTAAGCTATTTGGAAAACAAAATCCTTCTTTATATACAAAATTGATGCACTTATCCCAGACCCAACTATGTAAAAAGCCTAAATACAAAAAAAAGGGGGTGATTTAATGGTCACATGGTGGCAGCACCTTAGCTAGTGTTTTGTCCCCCTTGTCACATGAGTAGTTGAGATTTACTGGGACTTCTAATACAACACTGATAGTCATTATTTTGTTTCATTTATTGACTGTTATTGATTGTTATTGTGATAATTTAATTTGTTTAACCACAGCCCATATTGGACATAGTCCAGGCATTCATTCATTAAGCAGTAACATGTAGTTACTATTCCAGAGAGGTAGTTTTAGAGCAGAAATAGAGTTATGAAATGCTGTTACAGAGACACACACTGTCACAACATGTAGACTACTGTTTATTTCTAGAAGAGAGGACTCTGGGAAATGCCGATGGTGAGGCTTTGTAAATGAGAAAGCAGAGTAAGAACAAAATGCACAATGGATGTGTATTTACTGCCGTCTGATGCACCTCTGTGGGCCTGGGCATGTGTGTGCAGGCAGCTCCTCTATGTGTTTATAGGCACGTGAGTCTTCAAATGGATGTGTGGTAAGGAAGGAGCAGGGCTCGCCTGTCTTAAGAGTTTTCAGCAATGTTGCTGGAATTTATTTCTTCTAAGGAAGGGCATTTTAAAAATGCCTTTTAGCTGAGGGGAAAGCACCCTGCCGCGAGGCTGTGGAGATGTTTAAGAAGCTATTTCAGCTACCGTGAGTCATGGCAGTGTAGTCCCAGGGTGCTTCAGTGCGACAGCCTGGGAAGAGCCTGACTTCTAGGATGCGCGATGAGCTTTCCGTCATACTGCCCAGTTCTGCTCCAGTGTTCTTTCAAGTACACGTACAGCTGCTAAAGAGTGGTGCTGAGATTATGATTCGTTATAGAAGTGTTCTCACCTTATTTGTGACTGTTCCTTTTTCTTTTCTTTTTTTTTTTTTAGATTCAGTTTGGATTCTGATTGTTGCTCCTTTGCTCCTCTTTCTAACGGTTATTGTGGTGTTTGCATATTGGCATATTAAGAAGAATCCATTTAAGAGAAAAAGTGTAATGCTACCTAAGTCCTTGGTAACATAATTATTTATTTAATTATTCATGCTAGCATTAATTTGGATCTTCTTTGACTGTCCCTTCAATACTAAGTATCATTCAGGAAAATGATGGGCTGTGAAGAATAGCATTCTACTTAATCTTATTATAGCACTTTTCATTACAAAATAATCTTTCAATCTGCCATACACCCAAAGTCACTTACATTTCACTATGCACCAGGTACCTATTTTTATAATTCTCATGATGAACACTGACAAGTTTGGTAAGGAGATAAAGGTCCAGAAGGAACAGTACACTGTAGTACAGTCAGTGTAAGTTTACAGTGCAATAGAGGGTTATGCTTGAGCCAGAGAGGCCTTGCCCCACTCTGGTGGATGCGAGATAGTCACAACTCTCCAAGAGGCAAGGAGGCTTCAGCCCTCGGGGGCAGCATATGGGAGAGCCTGTTGCTGGATTCTCTTGTCCTGCCAGGTCCCGCCACCCATCTCAGCCCCAAATAAACACACAAAGACTTGTATTAATTATAAAACTGTTGGCTGATGGGTAGGGCTTCTTATTGGCTAGCTCTGTCTTATTAACCAATTTCTATAAATCTACATATTTCCCTATGGTATTGGCTTACCAGAGAATACCCAGACCTGTATCTCCTTTGGTGGCTACATGTGGTCTGTCCTTCTGGAAGGTTCCCCCTCCTACCTTTCCCAGAATTCTTCTCATCTCCTAGTCCCACCTATCTCCCTGCCTCTATTGGCCACAGTGTTTTATTCATCAGCCAATAAGAGAAACATATACACAGAAGGCCATTCCCTATCAAGAGCCAGCCTATAGCCCCCCCCCAGAAAAACTGGGCTTCTGAAGAGATGCAAACATTTCATCACAGTTGGCATCTAGAAGGAAAGATGGTCCAAAGTGAAATGATCACATTTGACATTTAAGTGTTGTCGCACTCCTGTCTCTTGAAATGGTTTAAACAATGCTTAAAGGTAATGAAATGATGACACATTGACTCAGACATGACAAGAATACTATGTGTGATGCTCAAAGGGTGCAGGGGAGTTACTGTTGTAAAAGTCTCTTTGGTGACCAGGAACTATCAACAGTAAGTAGACAGTACATATGTGTTCTATATGTCCTCTTCAGTAGTAGGTAAACAGGAGACCACCTGTGTTCAGCCATCCCTTCTTCATTAGAGCAGGAAAATGAACCTGACCCTGCAGCAGGGGCAGTAAAGATGTAACTGTGTGCCCCTTGTCAGGAAACCCCTGGCACAGCAGCCTTTGACATAACTCTTCCAATCATTTATCCTGAGGAAATAATTTCATAAATAAGAATGTGTGAAAGATTGAACACAGCACGTTCTGTGTCTGTTAAAGAAAACATCACTCTAAAGAAATGCTGAGTTACTGACATGAAATTTACATCGGTAAAACACTTTGCTGTAAAGCCAAGTATTGGTGACACACGCCTTTAATCCCAGCACTCGGGAGGCAGAGGCAGGTGGATCTCTGTGAATTCGAGGCCGGGCTGGACCGATAGCCTCCAAAACAATACAGAGAAACCCTGTCTCATAAAAACAAAAACAAAAACAAAAACAAAAACAAAAAAAACAAAAAACTTGGCTGTAGCATTCCCACAGACACATAGAAGATGGTGTGAAAAAGGCAACATACATTTATGAGATATTTAATGCTTTCATATTTTTAGTCTTCAATAAGTCCTATTAAAAAGAAAAGACAAGGGCTAGAGAGATGGCTCAGCGATTAAGAGCACTAGCAGCCCTTCCAGAGTCTTGCATTCAATTCAATTGCCAGCACCCCCATGGTGGCTCACAGCCATCCATAATGGGATCTGGTGCCCTCTTCTGGCCTGCAGGTGTACATGGAGATAGAGCACCATATACATAAAGTAAATACGTCTTTTAAAATTATTTGAAAAAGAAAAGAAAAGGCAAGCTGGATGTGGTGGCTCACACTCAATCCCAGCACTTGGAAGGCAGAGGTAGATAGATCTCTGTGAGTTTGAGGCCAGCCTGAGTTCCAGGTCAATAAGAGCTACATAATAAGACCTTGCCTTTAAATAAATAAATGATGAACAGATAGATAGATAGATAGATAGATAGATAGATAGATAGATAGATAGATAGAATAGGTATATAGGTAAGATAGGTAGGTAGGTAGGTAGGTAGATAGATAAGATATGTAGGTAGGTAGGTAAATCAAGCCCCATGGCACACATTTTATGTCCTAGCACTTGGGATGTGGAAGCAGGAGTATCACAAAGGAGTGACATCCTCTGCTACATGCTGACTTCAAGGCCAACCTAGGCTATTTGAGCCCTGTCTTAAACAAACAAGCAAAGATCAAGAAAAAAAATGCAGTGAGCTTATTTTAATTATGTTTTCTGAAATATATTATTTGCTTTTAAGACCTTTCTTTTTTAACAGGCATTTAAGCACAATAATTTTCTATCATGCTTTCTTTCACCCTAGCTCTCTGTAGTAAAAAATGTCACTTCAGAGACAAAACGTGACTCCAGCGATGAAACACTTTACAAATCGCACCAGCCAACTGTCCTAGAGAATGAGAAGGTGAACTGTGAAGAGAAGCTGTCCACGGTGACACTTCTAGACAACCCAGGAGCATCAGAACTTGGAGAACTTTTAAGTGAAACTGAGGCTATGATCCCCAAAGGAAGTACTTCCACTGTGGCCCCCGACAGCCCTCCGACTCCAGTACAGAGGAGCGGTTCTTTCCTCTCAAGTGGTAGCCAGTCGGAGCCCTGTGGCATCACCACCTATCACTCCAGAAACGGCTCCGACAGTGGCCTCGTGGACTCAGGCAGCTCCATAGCTGACTCGGAGTTCCTCCCACACAGTAACCCGGAAACAAAGATCACAGAGCCAGAGCCCACCCCCGTGAGGAAGGCCCCCACCTCCTATGGCTATGATAAACCACACGTGCTGGTGGATGTGCTGGTGGATGACGACGGTGGGAAGGAGTCCTTGATTGGGTATAGACTCACAACAGATGCCAAAGACACCTGAGGCCATCTCAGTTCTGCCAGAGACCAAGGGTCTGATTTTCCTAGGTGGTTTTCTGCTTTGATTATATGAGAAGTGGTTCCTTTGATGATGTTAAACACATGGATGTCTTGATTTAGATCCATGTGTGAGGGCACTGTGGGCGCTACCAGGTTTACTCTGCAAATGCCAAGACTTTTTCAAAGGAATGTATTGTTGCTGATGAACTCCTTTCTGAGTGTGTTAGCAGCAGTGAATTTTCTTCTGTTAACCTTGCTTCTCTCGCAGCTGCTGCTGGTTCGTCCTTATCACCTCAAAGGACATGTTGGACAATTTTTTTATATGCCTTCATATTGTAAGTTCATGTATACAGTATGTTTACACGTTTTACTTTGAAGGAAAAGCTGAAAGCTACTCAAAGTTGGGCTTGAAGTTTAATTCAGATTGATAGAATTTGATAGAACTTGTCAGTGGAAGTTTGTACATATTTTTTTATGGAGCATTACTTGATATTTTTAAGTAAAAATGTCTTGAAACCAAAACTTATTTGTGTATTCATTTATTGACGCACTTGGACAGTCTTTCATAGCGATTTGACGTATTTTATATGTTACTTGTTGCTATGCATGAATGCTATAGAATTATTTTCTAGCTTATATATAACCTTTAAAGGAATTCTAAAAACAATCTCTTCTATTAAAACGGATCAGGGGGTGGAGGGATGCTCAGCGTTAAGAGAGCTTGCGGATTTTGTTGCAGAAGACCAGGGCTCAGTTCCCAGCGCCCACATGTTGTCGTCGCTCAGTTCCCAGCACCCACATGTTGTCTCACAACTCTAGTACCTGCTTCCCACCCCCATTGGCTCTAGGCACAGACATGATATCCAGACATACATACAGGCAAAACATTCTTATATAAAAAATCTAAAAACCGTTATAGTAAGGAGCCAGTGAGTAAAAGCCTGTTCTGAGTAGTTCAGAAAGAAAAGAAGGTCTCACTGGACAGCAGGCATCAAGCTTCCTCTGTACAGGGAAGGAGGAAGCCCTAAAAGAGTGTCGTACAGTTAGAGAATACTTAAGAAATGAGTACCAACAACTGCTTTACAGGAATTATTGAAATCACTAAGACAGTAGAAATGCAACCCCTGGCTAGAAAGATTGCTGCATGGGTGTGGTGCAGGACATGCATGACTCCCTGAGTTCAGATCTGGGGTGGGTAGGGGAGAGCTTGAGGTAGGAGGATAGACGAAGAGCTGAGAACAGCATGGACCTTGGAGCAAAGCACTGGCGACACTGCAGGAGCCTGGAGGTCAGCATGTGCCCTGGTGTGCTCATAGGGACCACAGGTAGCCATTGGGACCCTTCCGCCAGTGATAAGGGAACTGGTTCTTTGGTGGAGGGGAACCGGCTTCCCAAGTTCCTGAGAAATGCCTGCTTTTGTCTAACCAGCAGAACTGGGGGAATGAAACTTCCTTTGGACTTGACAGCGGCCAAGTGCTCACACTCATGAGCTGACAGGGACGATCTCGCTCAGTTGGAATACCACAAACACACCCTGTGCAGTGATGGCGCCTGAAGTGGGCAACAAAGACAGCGAGGGCCGAGAGGGAGCAGGACGGCTACTTGGGGCGAGCGGATGGGAAGCCGCTGTTAGGGCACTACTTAAAGCAAGCAGGATAAGATGATTACGAGCGAGCGTGAGCAGCTCAGGGATACAACATTCAAGAGAGAGGGAGGGACTGTGCCTGGCATATTAAAGAAATGTCAAAAAGGTAGCAGTCAGCTCCTGCAGGGTCCAATAAGTGACTGTGAAACGTTTGGTTTTCATTCTGATAGAGATGGGAAGGTTTGCACCTTCTGAGGGTGATGCCCTAATCTCGTGCTTAAAAGGAACACTCCACGTGGTGCATAGGACAGCCGCAGTAACAGGAAGGCTAGCCAGGAGGCCATGGCCACAACCCTGCCAAAACATCATGAGAGCAGGGACCCAAGTGATTATGATGGAGGAAGGGACAACCAGTCACTCAGATTCCAGTGAAAGCTCTTTCCAGGGTCACCAAGCACTTGAAATGACCTAATGGTTGGTGATACCACATAGGGTTTAAGAACAAGCAAAATAGGCTCCCTAAACGTGACCTGAATGAAGATGGTGACAACAACCATGCTAATGTGGATATTAGAATGCACATAAAGCCTCAACCCTAGACAGAGACTAAGCATGACTGAGATGCAGAGAAATTGTCTACTCCAGGGAAGAGCGTGTCAATGGTTCATTCAATACTAAATGGTCAGCTGTGAAAACATACCTAAAAAACAAAACAAAAAACAAAGCAGTCAAAACAGAATCAATATCCTCTCTTGCCCAGAAAACAAAAAGCATTAAAAGAAAACCAGAAAATGTTAATTTCATGAAGTCTTATTAAGTTTTATGAATGGAGATCTTCAAATGTTATACAAACCAATTATTCCAGAATTCAGACCTGCTTGAAGGTCATATAGGCATTCCTTGCGTAAGTTATGAGGGTCTAGTGAGGGAGAAAGAGCACCAGGTGTCCCACTTTGTCACTATAGGCATCCACAGATCTGGTGTTCGAATTATGATGACAGAATGAGGGAAGGGTCTGGCACAGCAATAAGAGACAAACTCCATCTGACCCACCATGGATGAGCGCACCAAGGTCGCCCTGAGCATCAGTATTTAAACATCACTCTGAAGGAGAACAAGGGATACGTGTATGGCCATCTGCTTCCAGGATGAGGCCACAAAAAACTATCTTGGCTCCATCATTGCGGAATCTGCTGTCTAATTCACTTTTGCCTATTTGTGCCTAGGGAACAGTACCTGCATCTAACAGTCTAAAAAAAATGTTCTCTGAGTGTTGTATTCTTCTTTGACATTTTTTATCCCTTTACAGGATAAATACTCCAAATGAAGTATGACATTGGCAATTTATAATCACCCAGGAACTGTGAATTCAGCCAGACCTGATTTTATTCCTCATTCTAGGACTGTTTCCTACAGAACTTTGACAGAGTACTCGCAGCCTCTCCACAGCTCAGGTTTTCATCTGGAATATCAAGATAGTGAGAGTAATCTCCTGGGCTAAGAGAGTTCTAAATGAATTAACACACAGAAAACACTTAACACGGTGTCCCATTGACTATTATGTGTTCCTATTGTCTTTCCACAACCCTCTCTATTTTGAAACAGCTCTCAGATATCATGCCATTTTAATCTGTCATACTTCAATATGTACCTCTAAAAAAGAACAAAAATGATAAAACCTTATATCACATCTAAAAATAATGTTTTTCTTTAGAAGAATTGTTGATCTTCTGGAAGCCTCAGAATGAGGGGATGAAGAGGCTCAAGTCTGTCTTACCCAGGGCCTTGTGCAACTTCTCCAGACACAGAACAATGGGGACACCCGTTGTCATAGTCAAGTAGACTCTCCCTCCTGAGCTGTCGAGGGTAGGAAGGGGAGGACAGAAAATGTGTCTAAAGCTAGAATCTCATCAGTGAAGTAAGGCGAGCAGAGGACCTCCATTAGCCAATCAATGTTCTTTGTACACAAGACAACTTCAAATTTCATTCGCAACAACCCTGTACATATTATTGGGCTGCCAAGTTAATGTAGGGAAATTTAACTCATCTTTTTGCCTACCTAATGAATTGTTAGCCATGTTGGTTTTATATGGGTTGTGATATTACTCACTGGGAGAGCTCATTGAATAGTGACGAGACAGATTTGGTTTCTGAAATGTGACATGACAAAAGCTCAGGTTATTGAGAGAATTTAGTGCTTAGATACATTTTTCCCCTGTGTTTTGGATGCTAAGGATCGAAGCCAGGATGGAGAGCATGCTAGGCTAATACTCTGCCACTAAACTGTAGTTCTAGCTAGAATTGGGTTCTTATGTAACTCTCTCTTTCCCTTCCTCCTAACTTCTTATTTGTTCTACAAAGTCAGGAGCTCCATAGAAACCATAATCTCACTGTCTGATGCTCAGTGTAATACTCTGAACTGAAGTATTTCCCTTTTCTCCTTAAACTAGAACGTGGAGCCATTTAATTGCTTTGAAATATGATTCGCTGACGAAGAAGACATTAAATATTGCATGTATTCAAATTCAGATGATCACCTACCATTCAAAAATCAGGACTGGTGTAAAGTTTAAAATCCAGTGGGTAACATCAGCAAGTAAGTGAAGGATGATGCCAGGGAAATTGGAAGACAAGCTACACTGAAACCATGGAAAGAGGAAATAGCTTAGCGTATGCTTCATGATTTTTCTTCAAAGAGGTAAATACACTGGCAGCTTCACTCAGAGGAGGGGGGGCTAGATTCAGAAGTCTGGCAAGCATAGGGAGGTGACAGACCTGGAGTTATCATCACACATCTCCATATAGTGTTTTTATAAAATATGCATTGCAGCTGTCCTCAAATAGCCCTGCTGTGGCTCAGCAGAACACTATCCTGTAGTCCTCCCCCAACTGCCTAGGGCTCTGCTCTAGTTCTAGCTCATCCCTGTGCTGGAGAATAGGTGAAGGCACCTTCCAGCTGCCTTCTGAAACCTTTTCCTTCTCATTTAAGATAGAGAGAAAGAGACAGAGGAGACATGGACACAAAGTCACAGCCCAACCTTACTAGTGCTGTCTGTAACCCTGACCCCTCTAGAACTCAGCATCAGAAACTTTAAGGGTAGTTTCTGTCTTATTTACTGCCAGAACAATTACTGCTGTAAGGCAGCACGTATTTGCCAAGTATGAATGAATGAGTGGATGAATGCATGTATGAATGAGTGAATGAATGAATGAATGAATGAATACTACTCAGCAGCCATCACCAATGGAGCTCTTCTAAGAATTTGAATGAGTCTGCCTGTGTACTATTGGGTTTCCAACCTGGCACAAAAGGCTGGGGTGCCTGTTTAACATATCAAAGTGGACCAAGGCTGTCAGGTTCTCTCAGCATCCCTTAGTCCCTACCGGTTACAGGGTCTTCCTGGCTGGCACACCCTGCCCCCAGACCCTGAACTCTCCATCCCAAAGGGCTGGGCTGCCCTTTCCTATAATCCAACCATTTTGGTGATTACTCTCCTTGTATCTTTGCCCTCCTGGCTGCTGCACTTGATTCCCTCTTACCCCTCTCCCTTCCCCCTACCTCCTCCTCGAATGGCCCAGGGTCATGTTCACTCTGGACTCTCCCGATGTTTCTACCTTTGGCTATGCTCGCCCACAGATCTATAATAAACTTCCTCCTCCGGCACACCTAGGAGCAGTCATGTGTGTTGCTTTCCTTTTTATTTATTTCTTTTCATTAATTTGTGCTCGGAATGAGCTTTCTTCTGGGAAACTCTGCCCACCTGAAGCAAGCTGCTGATCCGACTTCTCGGAGATATTTATTTATGCGTCATTTGTTTCTGCTGGCTTCTGCCACTCACAAAACCTGATTCCAAATTCCAGAGTCTGATTCTTCGGCTGCTGCCTCCCCCTACCTGCTTTCTAACTGCTTCTCTGGCCTCGGGCCTGTCGCCCACAC